TATGATTCTATGATTCTATTCTATGAAATAACAATCAAATTTTTAATTAGATTGATAAGAAAATTAGATTGCAGGCTATTTGTTTTCACAACAATCCTCCTTTACTTCGAAGCCCTAATGGATGTTAGGCATTTTACTTGCAGACTTTGGTTGCTTTTGTGAGTTTTTATGTTGTGTTTTTGTTTTGTTTTTTTTTTTTCCTCCATGCTGTTTGCAGGATCCAGGGAACAGTTTGAATTGGTGGGAAGGGGAGGGCAAATGTAAGTAATATTGAAGGTCTCTAGTGAGTCAGGTGGATTAATGGAGATTCTTCGTTTCAGGAATTTAAATGTGGTTCATTACTTTTCTTAGTTTCTAAGTGACTGCTTGTAATATTAAAGAAAAGTATAAATTCTCAGAAACAGTGATCTTACCTAAGGTTCCTCATCATTTAGAGAATACTGAAGATGATTTTTTTCCTTATTTTGCACTGCGATCTGCAGTGTCTTCAGTTGGAAGAAAGGCAGTTTTCATGCCTTCTAATTTTCTTTGAAATTGGAGAAAGGCATTGTATTTAGTAAAAGGCAATATGAAAATTATAGAAAAAGAGGAACAGCTGACATTTTTTAAGAAGGGGAACAATTCCCAAAACACTAAGAACTCCAGAACTAGAACTATTATAATTGGTTGCTGTTCAACCTGTCAAAAGGTGAACTTCTAGTTATTGAAAATCAGGTAACACGTGGACGTTGAAGCTTTATTGCCATATTGGTAATAAAAATTGAAATAATTACCTTGAATAAAAATATATGCAAAAGAGATCTTGTTAAATTTTGATTTAAAATACATTTAAGAATAGTATAGTTATAGTTATTGTGCTCTTTAAAAAGAGAATTAATTTCAAAAAGGTTATCTTTGGTATGTTTTCAGGGTGTAATGAAATGAAGTTGAATGACTTCTTTTGGTCATATGGAAGAATATAGGAAAACTTATTAAAGCTTGTTGCTGTTTCCCAAACAGACGAAGACTTTGCATGTATTGCTGCGCCTTCAAGCAAAAAATCCAGAACGCAGCTCAAGGATCCAAAGAAGGAGAAAAAAGAGAAGAAAAAAAAGCCACACAAAGAATTGGCTCCATCACAAAGGCAAACACCTAGTAAAAGGTAAAAAATGTTGAAATGTGGTCAACTCTGTGTAAAGCTGGATTTCAAACAATTATTTTGTTGTTTTTTTTTCCTAGAGTTTTAAGCAACTGAGATAAAGATTAATGTGGTAAAGATTTTCACCTTTATTGGTATAGTTGCAAATCAGTGATAGTGTGATTCTGCATAGAGCTAGGAAAACTTCCCTGAGTTCAGTAGTGGGCTATGTCTGTTTTGTTACAGCTCTAAAAAACTCCATCAAGTAGCCTGCATAGGTGCAGAAACAGGTTTGCCTGTCTGATCTTGTCTCGATATCTCTACAATGCATAAGAACCATAACAATTCTGAGTTACTTAAGGACTCCTGAAACAGAAACATAAAGACAAGTTTGACTCCTTAAAAAAACCCAAATTTAACACTTGATAGAAAATACAAAGTCAATGTCAATGAAGAAAGAAATCTGATTATTTTGGTGGTAAAGTGTGTAAATACTGCATTTCAGTGTGGTATTTCAAACAAACATAATCACCTTTTTCTGTGATAATGCTGGTTATTACTGCATATATATATATATATATGATGCTATGTAATTATAATACTTTTAAGTATAGTGTGCTTTAAATATTAGTGTATAGTTTGTCTTAAGTCTTTTTGGGAAGTAATATTCATAATATGATATGCTATGAAGTATGTATTGAAATATTAATCTCTTTACAAGTATTTGAATTTAAAGAAGTTCAATGAGTCAGAAGTGACTGTTTTATTACTTAGCATGTTTGGATTTTTTTCAGGATATCCTTGGATGACAAACTTTATCAAAGAGATTTGGAAGTTGCCTTAGCCTTATCCGTCAAAGAAAAATCTGCAAATATCCTTGAGATGCATGATTCAGACAAACAAGGTTATTTTGTAGTTCGATGCAACACTCTTTATTTATATATAGTTAATTTCAACATGACTTTATTTTACAGTGAAATAATTTGAAAGTCATGCTTTATTTCAAGATGTCGTGATAAGGAAATGAGAATTTCTAGGTAGTGCCTGTCTTCTTATGTTCATATTTTTTTCTGTGAGAAAAATAACTCTTCTATGAGATCTTCCAAACGTACAGTTTGATTAGAGACAAGTAAAAACATTAGCTATTTTAATTTCTGAATATATTGAGTTTTTGTAGTATGGTTTTCGAATACTAATATTTTATATTACTTTTTGATTTGTTTGTTTTCTGGATCCTAAAACAGGTGAGAATATTGAATCGGAAAATGTACCTAGGAGACCTCTTTTTTCCAACTGCAGTGTAGACAGTGAACTTTTAGGTAAGTTGTTCTCATACTCTTGTCTTTAGAAGTAGCATTTCAAGATACATTTAAGTAGCTTAGCTCTTCTTTGTTTCCATTGGTTTCTGTTTTTTACTTATGTGGAAAAAAAGAGCCTTCAGTAAAGTCTGAAGGATGCATTAGTTTTTTCATTTAAAATTTGGTCTCATTCTTAAAATGAGAAAACCTCTGGATTCCTGAGTGAGATTGTTACAGATCGCTAAAAGTTAGTTGGAAAAAGCAACAGACATGTGATGTTTTTAGACACTAAGTTTATTTAGTTCTTCAAGAAGCTACACTTACCCTCAACTCCTTAATGGGTCCGTAACGCCTAAGCATCAAATAAATGTGACCAAACCATTTGCTGTGCCATTGGAAACTTCTTTATTTTTCCAGTTTTACTGTTGGTCTTCTGTCCTTTTGTTAGTTTGATTACAGATAAATATTGGTAACATTCACAACAGGAAAGTACAGTTTGGTCAGTTAAAAGAGTAAAATGAGAATCCCATGAAAACAAGTGCCAATGATATGCTTCTGTATAGTGTACTTCCAAATTACAAAAATGAATTCTGGGGACTCAAATACATGCTTCTTTTTGAGAAGGAGGATAGATTTACTATGAATTTTAATTAATTAGACCACGTTCTGTTTTCTAGGTCTCAATCAGGTTATGGATGATGACGTACAGAGGGGTGATGTTCGGCAAAGGACAGCAGCATCTAAAGTTCCAGCACACCAGAAGAAGTTACTGACCGTTGACAGTGATGACGGAGAGCCTGCTACTGACTCTGAGCCAGAGTCTGTACCCAGTAAGTTCTCTATAAAAACCCTCTCCATAGATGTGCTTTGAATGTGATGCCTTACATTTAGTTTATATTTTCAGTGAAATGCATACTGCTTCTACTGTAGCTTCCCTCCCCCTGCCCCTTACTGAAGCATTATCTTTTAATACTAGTGGCATCTCAATCGCACTTTGACACTAAATCTAAACATTGGAGCTTACTCATATACATTCCCCAAACTGGCAAAAACGATACTGCTTCTCTGCATTTGCTGCAGTATGTCAGAACAAATTTCTTCTGCCCTCTTTGTCCAGGTTTCATCTCTTCAAAGAGCCCCTGTTCATTTTTCCAGTTGTTTTCTGGGATTTGCATCAAAACGGTGACTCTAGAGTAGTGTCAGGTGTTAGTGCTTTCAGTATTGGCTTTGTTTAAGCTTACTTAAAAAAGTAAGTAGCCTCCCTTCTCTCCTTCCTCCAATTCTCAACTCTTATAAAACTGTGCTGCCTCTGATTGGAGGTCAGCCTAGCCTCATGCTCTGCTTCTGGTCACAGGCTTGTATTGAATGCCTGCAGAGTACGGTAGATGTCTCTCTCTCATTCCCCAATGGTTAATGTGTCTCTAACCATTCTTGTCTTCCTTACTGCAAGGTTTATTGGAAAATATTTTGAGAATTGTCAGTGAAATAAAATATCAGGAGAATAATCCAGATACTCCTGTTGATAGAGAACTATTTTTAAGATTTGCTAAAGTCTGTTTTTTTTAAATAATAAATCTATGAAATCTTTCTTACAGCTGAAATTAGACATGGTGTTTTTCCACTTTAAATAGTCATGACTAAGAATATGTGAAAGTCAGAAGCCCTGCCTAATAATTTTAACTTTTTCGTCTTGCACACATGGAATATTGATAATTCTGCTGTTAAAATCATTATTGTATGCAGTTTATACCAGAGCATTCCATTATTAAAGTACAAAGCCAGAACTCTGTAAATACAGAATGTTTTGTGGAGGCTATTTCTTTCTCAGTTCAGCATATAAGTATGTGCAAATTTTTTCTCCTGTATCCTTAAGGTATCCTGGTTTTTTATGTCCAGAATGTGATTAGAAGGCGCTGAAGTAAAAGAGATGACATCCCTTTTCCTTGCTGTAGGTGAGGAGTCAGAAGAAGATTCAGATTATAGTGAAGATGATGTTGAAGACTTTGCTATTGAAAGGAAGAAAACCAAAGGAAACGAAAAGAAGAAAGGCAAAGGAAATAAAAAGAAAAGCAAACAAAAGATGCTAGCAGAAAGAGAGAAGATGACTCCCAAATCCAAGATTGATGCTACAGGTAAGTTTGTAGTAGGATTTTGAAATAGATTTCTTTATAAGAAGTCTAAGGAGACCCTCAGCAAGTTTGCCGACGACACCAAGCTGTGTTGCGTTGTTGACACGCTGGAGGGAAAGGATGCCATCCAGAGGGACCTTGACAGGCTGGAGAGGTGGGGCCATGCGAAACTCATGAAGTTCAACCTCATGAAGACCAAGTATACGGTCCTGCACCTGGGTCGGGGCAATCCCAACCACAAATACAGGCTGGGTGGAGAACAGATCAAGAGCAACCCTGAGGAGAAGGACTTGGGGGTGCTAGTTCATGAGAAGCTCAACATGACCCAGAAATGTGCGCTTGCAGCCCAGAAAGCCAACCATATCCTGGGCTGCATCCAAAGCGGCGTGGCCAGCAGGTCAAGTGAGGGGATTCTTCCCCTCTACTCTGCCCTGGTGAGAACCCCCCCTGCAGTCCTGCCTTCAGCTCTGGGGTCCTCAGCACAAGAAGGACATGGACCTGTTGGAGCGAGTCCAGAGGAGGCCACGAAGATGACCCAAGGGCTGGAGCATCTCTGCTGTGAGGACAGGCTGAGAGAGTTGAGGTTGTTCAGCCTGGAGAAGAGAAGGCCCCGGGGAGACCTTAGAGCAGCCTTCCAGTACCCAAAGGGGCCAACAAGAAAGCTGGGGAGGGACTTTTTACAAGGGCCTGGAGTGACAGGACGAGGGGCAATGGCTTTAAACTGGAAGAGGGACAATTCAGATGAGGTATCAGGAAGAAATTCTTCACCGTGAGGGTGGTGAGGCCCTGGCACAGGTTGCCCAGAGAAGTTGTGGATGCCCCATCTCTGGAAGTGTTCAAGGCCAGATTGGGTGGGGGTTTTGGCTTTGGTGGAAGGTGTCCCTGCTCCTGGCAGGAGGGTTGGAACTGGATGGCCTTTAAGGTCCCTTCCAACCAACCCATTGTATGATTATATTGTAATAAAAGTCCCTTTCATTTTCACTGAAGGAATAGATAAATTTAGCTGACAGACTGACTGCAGGTTTATGTTGAAAATGGCTATATGCAGAGTAAAGGAAGGAGAGCAGAAAAAAATCCTGAAAGAAAAAACACTTTATAGTAAACTAACACTCCTTACAATAAAAGCAGGCAAAAGTGGGGAGACAGAGTTAATTTCTTTTTATATAAGTATATTTAGCTTTTAAGAAAAGGTTAAATAACAATGAGTGATCTGAGAATTATTTTATTTAAAATTATAATCTCATAGCCTCCTCTTGCAGTGGCATTTATGAATTTTTAATTTAAGCATAGCTAAACAATGCTTGTTCAACTAACCACTTGGCAAAAAACACTAAATACGCATGCCCTTCAGAGTTGATTGTTCACTGTGTCACTAACACAATTTACTTTGAATAACTTAAGAAAATTTTTATCGTCGTGTTAATCTTGTGTTTGACTTGGTAATGTGTTCTAATTTCAGGCCTGAGTTTACAACATATAATTTAGTTTAAAATTACTTTCAGTTGTAACAGGGAATGGTTTGCTTTGTGTAGCTGACGGAAGAATCTTCCCTCTTAGAAATTCATATCTTGCAGGTCTTCAAGAAGAAGTTGTTACGCTGCTTATTTTCAGAACAGGATTGAAAATCCAGAGTATAACAGGAGTGACTGTATGAATATATACTGTTAAAAATGTGACAGTCTAGTGACATACTCATCATTTCACTCAGTGCAGAAAGCTTGTGCTGTACAATGATCTGTCATCTTAGGCAGTGTGATTTCTCTGCTAAGAGTATCTTTCTAAGGTTGCTTTTATTTTCCAACTAAGTATCACCTGTAGTTTCTCCTTCATGGATAATGGAACAAAAATCTGAGCCGACGCAAAAGAAGGTGTCCAGTTCTTCACAACCAGTTGGGAGGCCTTTACATACATCAAGTCCTGTAACAGACAAGAAGCCGAAATGGATACCACCAGGTGCCTATAAGATCATAACTGTAAACATACACAGTAGTTGACTTAAATTTTTAGCAATCTCTCCGCAAGCAAAGAAACAGTATTTCAGAAAAATGGCTGCCTGCTTATAATGAAAGGTATTTTTTTGACTTTAGATTAAAAAAAAGAAAAAAAAAGAAAAAAAAAGAAAAGCTATCTCCATGATTCTTGTCCTCTTATGGCATTATCCTTAACTCCTTTATGTGGGGAGGTTAATAAAATATTTTCTGGAGTGTAAATCAAGTCTTAATCAAGAGATTGTTTTGTGGCCATTTCTCTCTTACTAAGAGCTTGCTTTATCTCTGGTACGTGCTGCATTATTATGTATTCTAAATTAGTAATATTAGAAAAATGTTGGAGTGTTTTAACTGCTGTAGTAAAGTGAATGCTTAGAAGCTTTGTTTTCTTAAGGTATTTGAGCATGCTGTTGCTGACTCCTGCTTCTTTCTTTGATTTTCCTTCATACTTACTCTTCTGTACACAGTTCTTTCTGTTTGGCTCCTTTCTCTCAAGCCTTCTTTTCCCACTTGGAATTGTGTTCAGTTGTGTGATTCCCTGTGGAGCACCTGAAAATACAGAGTACACTGGGAACAATTTTTACGTGCTTGTCCAGTGTTGCTCCAGTGTGTTGCTGGTTAATTAAAACTGTGCACCATACCCGTTGCATTGGCTCCCAAATAGATTGATGCCTGGTGAGTATGCTGATTTCCCTGTGCTTCTCTGGTATGTTGTTCAGACCTTTTTGCAGTATCTTTAGAATACTATTTATTGTTCTGCTATGAAAACTATAAAAAGACAACAGTCGTATGATTCTTTTTTTTTTTTTTTTACCTCTAAATCTCTTACACCTTTTTGTTTTAAAATTATTTTCAGCTGCATCAGGAAGCAGTAATAACTCTATGAAATATGTTTCGGTTAAGTCGCCTACTCAGTGTCTCAGACTCGGCCTCTCCAGACTAGCAAGAGTCAAACCACTGCATCCCAGTGCTACCAGCAGTTAAGTGGTCAGTGACAATGTGCCACGTGAAGGAAAAGACTTTGGGAAGTGTTTTGCTTATAAATAGAAGATGGGCAGCAAAAACTTCATGGCATCCTCCATTTTGGAGGACTGTTGTTTATGTAGGTGTCTGATACTATAATGAGTTTTTATTCTGCAGAATGCTGGGCATCCTTAAATGCTACTGAATAATATTTAATCAAGGTGACATCTGGGTCACCAGCTCTTTCATGTATTAGAGGTGTGGGTTTGTGATAATTTTAATTCTCTGATACCTAAACTCTTGGCATTAAAATAGTCTAGACAGCACTATGTCAGTTATGGAATTTGATATCTCAAATGGATTCTCAACACAAGTGAAAGTCACAGTTTAAAAAATATTTTTTGGAAGAGTTAACACTTTCCACCCCCTTCTTGGAAAGTTTGTCACCACTCTCTTAAAATCTCTTAATGTTTGCATATCTTATATGTGGATTTTAATGAATTTTTATGTATTATAGATATAAATGTTTTTTAGAATGTTGTATTTTTTAAAAAACTGAAATAAAATACTCTATGTAATCTACCTAATCATATTAATTGACTTTATTAATTTTGAAAATAATTTCTAAATTTTGGCTACAGTCCAGCAAATATTTTTGTGTGTGGACACTTGTTGGAAGTCAACAGCATTAGTCAGGCTCACACAGTGAGGATTTTGCGTTGAGCTCCTTGGTCTTTTTTAAAGGCCATGATTATCCGTGAGGATAGTTAGTGGATTTGCTAAAGCGTTGGAGAGAGAGGTACTGAGTAACGAGGCTGAGCTTTCAAACTTATTAGTCCACAATGTAAATAGTTCCCTATCTAAGCATATTGACTGTGTCAGATGACACAGCAAATGCATTTCTACCTGGATTACCTAAGGGATCTGATCATGACTGAGTGAATTTGATTAACAAAGGAATATATTCCTTAATATTGCATTAACAAGGAAACACGGACATTGTGATGTCATCTGCATTTTGGATTCCTGACTCCTGGCATGGAATCCCATAGCCCTGAGTGAAGTGTGATCCATTGAGCTGGGCTGAGTGAGTTTAGGAGAGGAGGCACCACGTGCCTGCTCTTCCTAGTGCTCCCCTGACTCGGTTGTGGGTTGTCTTAACTTGCTGAAATAGCACATCAGAATAACAGAAATTTGCAGCAGGCTGCCATCAGATGAGTTTAAAACTGCTGCCAAGCAAGGGTGAAGCAGGAGTACCCGCAGGAGGAAAGAAGCATCCAAGAAGAATGCTGCTTGTGACAACTAGTATGTAATACGTATGTCATGTTAGTCCTCTCCTTGATTCCCTTTCTTTGTGCTTATTTATGTAGCCCCTTTCCAAGGTGTACGGTGGATATGTGGCTGCAGCAAAACGAGAAGCAGAGAGAGCCTTGGGCCCCAGGGTGGGTCCTTGCAGCGTCCCAGCCCATTGCCCCCCATCCATGCTTTGATCCTTTCCTTTCCACTGGGAGAGGGCGTGCAAAAGAACGGCTCCTGCGCTGCATCGCAGTCACCAGGTTGCTTTCTATTGAAATTAAACTGTCATGAATTGTTTTGCTTTTATGTTTTTTTCAGGGGTAAATACAGGTTTCATGTGATTGCGCATTTTCTTGCTATAGGGAAATGTATGTAACAATGCAAAGTATTTTTTCAATGTGGTGCTTCAGGAAAATATTTCTACAGCTGGTAGATTTAGTAACCCCCCTTTTCCCCTACTTTCATCCCATTCTTTTTTCTCCACAAAACATACATTTGAGATTTATCTTCCTCTGGTTTCAATCTTGGCATCTTTCAAAGATTACAAATTTTCAGTGTGTCACCTGTCCTTGAACCCCTCCTGAAGTTTGTATGGGTTTCCAGTTCATGAGGATTTTCCAGTATTTCTTTATTTTTCGCTGAGTGAAATTTTCATATAGGCAATTAGAAAAAAATGTCTTTGAGAGGGAAGTAGTAGATATTCTTAATTGTGTGTTTCAAAGCTACTCTGTACCTGACCTGCAGAAAACAAACCTTGCTGGTAGGCAGAGAATATTTTTATAAAAGATGACTTCTTTTCTGTTCTAGGTTATTAAAGGACATGGTCAAAAGCAGCCAAATGGATTTAGGGGCTGTAAGTGTTACAGATTTTTTTTTTTCTGTTAGTAACAGAGAGGTTCTCTGTGTTACTCCAGCTGCTCTCAACCTTGGAAAATTAATTTTTTTCTGAAAATAACATTTACAGTTCCCTCATTGCTCTAAATTTTAAACAACCCTGCATAGAATTGTCCGTGCATCATTTCTCCCCAATGGTTCCACAATGGTATGAAATGCTTTTTGATTTCAATTTGTAAAGCAATCAGAAAGTATGTCAGTTTGCGTGTCAGAGTTTACAGATTTCACATACTTGCTGTTTTAGAACTGCATCTATATTAGTAAAAAAAGTAAGAACAAGATTTTTAAAGAAGAGGTGGCTATTTGTAGGTATAAACTTTGCTGCTGTCACGACTATGAATAGGTACCCTGTCCAATCTAGAGATCACCTCTTGCCTCAGAACAGCAGAGGGTTTTTCCAGCATTGATTGCAACTCCAGATATGCTGTATTCCGGGTGATGGAATCAACTGCGAGGTAGTTGAAAGCTGCCTTTGCGCCACTGTGTGAGCAGTTTGTTTCCTACACCCATGGAGATGCAGGTTGGGTATACAGAGCAGAGCTGCTTCCCAAAAACACCCAGTAGAATTCCATCAGCCTGAAGACACCATGCTCCCAAGACTGATACTTAGGCTTGGTCTGAGACAAGCTTAAAAAAAAGTTTGAAATGGCTAAAATTTAGGGACACAGCAGCATGAAATTGCTTCGAATATTCATAAAGCAGATTTATGTACCTCCAGACATTCAATGTCGTCAACACATGTCTCACTTCTACTCTTTTTGAGAGTAGTGATAATGCCACAAAAAGAGAGGAGGAAATTGCGAGACAAACAAGACCAGCAGAAATCTGAAAAATGAAAGTACGGTGGATTGGTGGGATAAACCTGTGTGTGGGGACACCTGCGGCACCTCTTCACTCTCTGCTGCAGAGACTGCTTTAGACAACGGTGATTGACTGGGCATTTCATGGCAGGCATGGCTCTGCCCTGAGATCCATGAATGATAGCTTGGCAATTAGCATTGATGCTTTGCCACAGCACTGCTTAAGAACTGCTGGTTTATAGCAGTACCTTTTAATGCATGAAGGTTTAGACTTTAGATTTGATATCCCTAATAATAAATGCAGAGCGTTATCTAAAGGAGAATATTCGAATAGGATATAAAGCAAGAGCAGGACTTGTCCTTCCAGCTTTGATTGAACAGAGGGTTTCAGAAGATGCTGAACAGACCTGCAGCAGATGTGTATTTAGAACTTCCAACATCAGAATGAACAGAATAGGACAGAACTGAACAGAGTATTTCAGTTGGAAAGGACCTACAAAGATCACCTAGTCCAACCACCTGACCACTTCAGGGCTGACCAAAAGTTTAAGCATGTTCTTAAGGGCATTGTCCAAACACCTCTTACACACTGACAGGGATGGGGCATCGACACCTCTCCAGGAAGCCTGTTCCAGGGTTTGACCGCCCTGTGAGTTACAAAATGCTTCCTTCTGTCAGGTCTGAGCCTCCCCTGACAGAGGCAGCTTTGAACCGTTCCCAGGTCCTGTCCCTGGATCCCAGGAGCAGAGCTCAGCACCTCCCTCCCCACGTCCCCTCCTCAGGAACCTGCAGAGAGCGATGAGGTTGTCCCTCGGCCTCCTTCCCTCCAAACCTGACAGACCCAGAGCCCTCAGCTGCTCCTCACAAGACAGGACTGCCAGCCCCGTCACCGCCTTGGTTGCCCTCCTCAGGACACTTTAAAGTACCCCAACGTCCTTCTGACACGGTGGGGCCCAGCACTGCACACAGTGCTCGAGGTGAGGCCGCACTAACGCTGAGTCCAATGGAGCTGCTGACCCCGCTGCCCACCAGCACCCCCAGGTCCCTCTCTGCAGGGCTGCTCTCCAGCCACTCCTCTCCCCATTTATACTTGTTCCCAGCATTACTCCATCTCAGGTGCAGGATCCGGCATTTTGACTTGTTAAATTTCCTGTCATTGGTGCTCCAAGCTATCCTGATCCCTCTGTGAGGCCTCTTGTCACGTTCAAGAGAATCAACAGCAAGCTCTTGGATCCAGCTTCCTTATTTATGTTCACTGGCTCTTACCCACACTCAAGAGCTCCATTGCATCGCCTACATTCGTAGGCCGTAGAAAAGTCCCATCTATTTTCTGTGGGAATTTTGTTCATTAATGAGATTTGAAAGTGTGCTGAGGAAATCAGCACTGTATTTATGAAGCCTGGATTTGCTCTGATTTTTAATTCCTCTGTGCTATTCAGAGAAGAGCTGAGATAACAGGGTCACAGATGATTATTTCTGTGGTGTTGAAATATCACAGTGAGTTAAAGGAGCTAGAGATTTTGATTTGGAAGAATAAACAGTCTTCTTCAAAATAGAGTTTTATCAGTATTATGAATATGATTTTGTTTTTCATCGTGGTTTTCTAGTCTATATACAGAGGTAAATAATAACATAAAACAACAAACATGGCATTAAGAAAAATAAAACAGTCATTGTATACAATTAGAATTGAGGGAGTTGAGGATAGATAAATAATTGGTTGTAGTGACTGATGAGTTATAATTTAGTGGAATAGATTATATGATGTGTGAGTCATCTTTGTGATAAAAGCTGGTGTTTAGTGTTTGAGGTGCTTTTTATAAAATATTTTTCTACTTACAAGTAAGTTCTTGAAAATAATTTGTTTAAGCTTTGTTTCTATGCTCAGACTCAGCCCTGCACTGAATTTCAACAAAAGACATCTAAGAACTTCTAACAGAAACTACCTGTAAAATTTCCTTTTCTGGGGATTAGACAAAGTAAGTAAGTGTGGGAGAGATTCTGAGATTCATATTCCCAGCGTGGAGGCAG